TAACTGGAGAAAGCACAGATATTGTAAAAAATGTATTTCATCTGATCCACAATCAATAAACAAAAAAGCAGTAATCAAGGAATTGAACAATGTACTGCACTGGGCAAATGTGCTGGAAAAAGAATTCGTGAACATGTTAAAAACAGAAATGACTTTTTGAAGACTAAGGTACACCTGACCCAAGTCACAGAATTTACAATTGCTTTGAACTGTGGTGTTGGAGAAGAGTACTGAATATACCATGGACTGCTAAGAGAACAAACAGGTTCATCCAGGAGAGAGTGAAACCAGGCTGCTCATTAGAAGCCAAGGATTCTGAAACTTCGTCTGACATACTTTGGACATGATGCAAGGAGGGACCAGTCCTTGGAGAGGGATGTCATGCTTAGGAGGGTGGAGGGACAGCGCAGGAGAGGAAGACCCTTGATGAGATGGACTGATTCAATTACTGGGGTTTGGGGGGTACGTGTGTCAAAGACAATAAGACTGGCACAGGATAGAGCATAATGGGCTGTTGTACACAGGGTTGCTATGAGTTGCAGGCAACTCAACAGCATATTAACAACAAAAACAAAGACATATAAAAGCTGGACAATGAGTAAGTCAGAAGAAGAAACAATGTCTTTGAATCATGATGTTATCAATAATATTGAATACACCATGTACTGTCAAAAGGATAAACCAATTTGTCTTGGAAGAAATGTAGCCGGAATGCTTCTTAGAAGTGAGACCCGGTAAGACATCGTCTCATATATTTTGGACATGTTATTAGGAAAAACCAGTCCCTGGAGTAGAATACCATCTTTGGTAGAGAGTCGGTGAAAAAGAAGATCCTTGAACCTTTGTCCTCTTCCTTTCCAACCTGGTCCTCATGCTACAGTACCCCACAAAGAAAGGTGGTAAGAAGAAGGACCTTTCTGTCATCAACAAAGTGGTAACAGAGACGACACCATCAACATTCACAAGTGCATTCATGGAGAAAACTTTAAGAAGGGTGCCCCTCCAGGGAGCTCTAGCAACCTAGTGAGAAGAAGCTGCACTGCAATCCCAGAGGTCCACGGTTCAAATACATCAGATGCTCTGCTAGAGAAGGAGGGGCAATCTCCTCCTGTACTAGTCAGATCCAATTTGACTACACACACACACACAAAGTAGTAAAATTTAAAAAAAAAAGAAGAAGAAGGGTGCCCCTTGGGCACTCAAGAAGATCCAGAAATTGCCATGAAGGATATGGGAACATAAGATGTTCATACTGACACC